CGTGCTGCTCTTGGAAGAGGAATGCAGTGGCCTGCCAGCAGTTACACAAGCAACAGTCACAGAGGGAAGGTTTAAGGACTTTTTCACCAGTTATTCTGCTTCCAAAATGCACAGTGAGGGAAACCAGTGTGAGACGCCGGGTGAACATGCAGAAGCTCCAAGTCGCATCCCCCGTCATGCCGGGTATTGCAGCAGTTAGCAAGGTAAGCTCCCCACTGCTCTGGACAGAAGGAACTAAACTAAAGCAGGAATCACCATCCTCTGCATGGAATTTTCCTATTTCTGGTTGGCAGCCGCCTACTGGGACGATCAAAAGTGCTCTGCGGACAAAGATGGTCTCTTATAACACTAACACATCAGAAATACCCTGTGAGCCTGTAAATCCATAGAAAAAGAAACCACAATTTTATAGGAGCAATAGCAACAGCGTTTGGCAATCTGCAAGTCTGCTACTGCACCTCAGAAACATTGAGTCCCAGGCACCCAGGAACAGATCACCCTGCTTTGACTTGAATCCTTTTATCAGACAGGCGAAAAGCACCTACCATCCCGCTGCTTGAACCAGTTTTTTCAAGAGTGACAACTGTCAGTGAGTAACTGAAGGGAGCAAGAAGAAATATGAGAAGCAAACGTGTTGGGGCTTGGGGAGGGGGGGGATGGGTCTTTAAACACATACCTCAAACAGGTAGGAGGGAGGGAATCCATGAGAAAGACGTTTGAAAGGGCCTCACGTCCACCCAGAGGCAGCTCTCGTGCTGTTTGGAAGGGCAGGACGGTTCACACCGGGAACCGAACCTCTGCAGTATCATTGCTGACAGTGACCTCTGGCTAATTAAAAGGAACTCGACGTTTCCCGCTTGACATTGCATGAAAAGGGGATACTTTCCCACTTCCGGCAAGCTCTTTTGTTGGCGTGGTTGAATCAGAGTTAGGAGGACTGAATCCCTGTCCCCTCTCGCCCAAGGCAGGAGGCAGGTCTCCTCCGCAGCCCAGCCTCGGCCTCGGGAGGCTGCACACCCCCACAAGGCGAGGCTCCGGCAGCAGTCCGGCAGCCTCCTTTCCTCCTGCGGAGTTAGCAGTGAGATCTAATTTTTGCTCCATTCTTGGGAACAGTATGACCTCTATTCACAGCTAGCTAGTCCGCTCCTAAGGCACCGCTGAAGGAGGGGGCTTCCAAAGGAGTCTTTGAATAGGATGAAGGCAAGCAGAGGCCAGGACAACTGGCCGGCTTCCAAGCTATTTCAGGCCAAAGAATCCCATCTTGTATGAAAATGCTGAACTGCAAAACAAACCTGATTTCCGTTCGAGGAAGGTTGAGGGGGTGGGGGGAGGGGAGGAGGGGGGCCGCTGGTCTGAATTCACATGCAAAAATGGACTTGACTTCCTGCGCTGCCCAAACTCTATTTCCACGGGCTCTTTCTCCAAAGGAATGGCTGGCATAAATATGCCTAAATCCGCGACGGAACACCCAAACGGCTTACCTGATAAAGGAAATTCACCCATCCGCAATGAGGAAGAGCATCTCCCAAAGACCCAGAGGATGACAACGTGCCTCCGGCTGCAATTGTTCAGATTCCTTCTCGCAAAAGGTGACCAAGTATTTACAAGGGCTGCAGTCTCACTGAGGCAGGACGTACATGCAAACACACACACACACGCACACATACACACATGCACCAGAGACCTCTGCAGTATCCTCTCGGCTTCATCCTCGCCTCACTCTATGGTACCTAATACAAATCAGCAAACAGCTTCTTTTTAAAAAAAAAAAAAAAAGTCGAGGCAGCACCTTACATCCTATCGCCATCTAGTGGCCGAATCTTGAACATTTTCTCCCCGGCAGGGTTTGCGTGCTCTTTGCCGACCCCTTTCCCAGGGGCCTTTCCGTCCCGCCCTTGGCTCTCACCACGGCTTCCTCCTGTTTCTCCATCATTCCCAATGTCTCTGTCATATCAAACTTCATGAATCAAAACTGAAAAGGCTTAAAAGTAGAAATAGCTATCATACGCATAGCGAATAGCTCAAGCGTCGTTTCTGCATTTTATTTTTAAGTGTCACTATGAATCATGGCTTTCTTCACAAATTGTAGAATTTAGAAATAAAACTTTGTCTTTTCATTCCACCAGGAGAAAAGTGTGTGTCTCTTTATTACAGACTGACGACTTTTCTTTGGTGATCTATTTGAAATGTTTCTCATTTTTCACATTGTCTTAATAAATGGCTCTATATTATAGTGCACAGGTGTGAGTCTTACCTCAAGTTCACCACCAGTGAGCATGTGCCCTGAAGTGAGTCACTGAATGCTTCCATGAAAACTTACATTTCCCCATCTTTACCTGTAGCTGAGGTTAAACAAGATAATTTCTATGGTTTCATTATATTTTACTGAAATACATTTCCCCATTTTATGGACGTACTTAAAACTTACTTAGAATGCCATGTTCTGGTAAGTAAATATGTTTTGAATCCAATTAAGGATTGCCTACTGGTAGAATAATGAAAGTCACATCTATCAGGTTTTCCTAAGACAATGGAGAATCCATGCTAAACTATTTATACCTCCAGAAACTGAAAGTACAGCTTTCTGGGTTACATACTGTACTTTAAAACCAAAAGTCTTTCACATTTGGTCATGCATAAGCTTACGATTAACTATGTGTAAATTAGTCATTTTGAATAATTTGCAATGAATATTTCATCCTGGTTGTTTTCTACCTAACATGCTTATTGTTGATAACTATGTATCTTCTATGTGCTTACCATTTATTAAATGACATCACTTTCAATCTATAATTTTTCTATTCCTTACTACAGGACAATAGGAAAGATACTATTAATATCATTATAATATTCCCATTGTACCATTGAGAATACTGAGGCTTTCTGAACTTTACAAAATTTATTCAAGCAATAAAACTTGCAAAGCAATAAAACTAAGGCTCTTGGTCCCCAAATCCGTTTATACTTTGCAACATCCTCAGAACTCCATTTGTCTTTCCCTGTTATAGAATCATAGGAATGTGATTTTTACTTGTGTGCTCACAAAGCATTTACTAACTCTTCATAAATTACTCATGGGCCCATCTTCTCACCTATAAAAGAATGAAATTAAGATAATTTTCTGTTCCAGCTCAAAAATCCTGTACTTTCACTAAAGCCAATCAAGTTAGCATGAATGCATCAATTAAAATTACTCAGTGTCTGGAAAATGTTGTTCTTCAATCTCTGATAGTCAGAGTGATGTTGAAAGGAGATGGAGAGACAGATGAATATCTGACCAATAATACCAGGATGTTAGACATAAAGATGAAGTGGGAAATCTGTGAACTAACAGACAGTATCTTTTTTATCTTAGATAATCATATTTTATATATACAGCATGATGGTTTAGAATACAGGCATAAAAGTCATACCCTAGGACATATGCTTTAATGCCTTCTAATTGCTTATATAGGGGTCAATTTTTTGCATGTTTTCTCATAACGTTCCCCTCAACAGCTCTCCCTCTCTGCTGCCCAGAGGTGAATTTGTGCTCCTGGCTGCGGAGGACCAGGGCAGGGGAGGGCGTCTGGCCGTCCGCCCTAGTTAAACAGAACTGCTACATGTGATCCTGGCAGCTGTGGGGCAGCCCTCCCGCCCCAGGCAGAGTCAGGACCAGGTGGGCCAGGGCCTGGGAGAAAGGAATCACGCGGGTGTGGGAGAGGCAGTGCCCAAAGACAGAGCCAAAGAACTCCCAGTGACTTTCTGTTTCCGGCTCCAGTCTTTTCCAGGACCCAGATGCTGTGCTGATTTGGGGTCCCATGGTGGACCCACATCAGCTCCATCTGGGCTTAGATGAACCTGGGTTCTGCTCCTCTGTGAGGTACTGGCAAGTTCAGTCACTGCCGGAATCCCAGTGGCCCCCCTGAAAGCCACCAGGGAGTGTTCATGCTCCGGGCACCTGGCACTTCGTCCACTCGCCTCCTCGATCACCTGCTACAGGCCAGGCACTTTTCCAGTTACTGAAGTTACATCAGTGAACGAATCAGATCAAAATCCCTCCATTTGTGGAGTTTACTCGACAAGTGAGACAAATAGAAGGCACGCTGTGGTCAACACACACACCACCCTTCCGCCCCTGTAGCTTCGTTCACAATGTCTTTTCTCGTTTTCTCAAGAGGTAGAATCTTTTTCCTTTTGTTAACACAGAACAACTTTGTTTTATTGTGGAATATGGTTACTTATCCAGCTGAAAGCATTGGGTAGAAGAAAATACATGTGGTTGTGATACAGACTCTGAAAATAAAGGCCAACATCCCACCCATTGCCCAATGACTACATTTAATGAATGAATAGCTTGTCATTCAGTACATAAGACATTTTCATTCATCAGAGCTGAAGCAGTTTAACAATACTGATAATTTTAATTTTCTGCACATCAGGCCTGGCATGAAGGCCAAAAATGACACTAATTCAAAGGATTTTTGTTGAATTAGTGCAGTACACACTTACAATAACATTCATAAAAGTTGGCAAAAGCTATATTAAGATGAAACTTTACCTGGGCTAACTCATAACCCTAGTGTATTTGTCCCTGTTGACCTTGTGCAGAGAGTTCTATGCACATGTCTTTTTTTGCCTCCCAGATTGTAAACTCCCTGTGTAAAGAGTTTTGTATTTTATTTATCTTTGTGCAAGAAGTTAATTTATTGAGCTAGAATTTTCTCTTTCTCACTGTTGTTTCCTATTTCAAAGAATGAAAAGGTAATTTTGCCCCTTAATGTTAGCCATTCCAGGAGATCCTCTGTAATCTTGTCTCAGGAAGTGGACAGGATATACTGGCCATTTCCTATGTGACAACACTTCAACCTGTGCCTGCATGGACTGGCTAAGAGGCTTGGGCTGTACCTTTCCAATGAGACTTTCTAATAAGACGAAGAGAACAAGAGCACACGATGTCCTTTCATCTTCCCTAGTTCCAGTCCACTCGGTTGTGAGAATTGGATGGTTTTGTTGGCCTGGCTCTGGTGGGGGTCAGCCACAGCAGTTCATTGCTCAATGCTCGAAAAAGAGGAAATATTTTAATGGACATCATCATCGTCAGCCAATCTTGGATATTAAAGAGGAAGACAGGTTACGGATGGAAGAAGCTATACCAGGTCTTTCTGTCTGTCCATTCTAGACAGACGGGAGAATCTTTGAAAGAGTTCAAGGAGAGCTCAATATCAAAGGCTGAAAAATCAGTGTGATTAACATCAGAGTATTAGTTAATAGTTTTTTGCATAGAAAATAAAGGGAATTTGTTATTAAAACATTCTGCCTGATGTCCATCTCTAGAAGTTCTGAACTTTTTAGTCAGCTGTCTTATAAAAAATGTAAATTAACTCTTAATGAACTGGAGGTCCAGCAGGGAGACAGGGGGTCATTTTTGATCTTTGGCCCAAAATTCCCCAAAGCAATGGTCAACTCACTAGGTTTTGAATTCTGGATTCCCTTGCTTAGAATTATAAGTGACATTTGAGTTTCATAGCAGAAAACGGTTACAGATTCTCCTGTAATTTGTTTGGAAATCTGGGCTCCCTGAGTAACGGGAAGCTGAGTCCTCCCTGAAGGAAAGAGATCGGGATGTTGGCACCTGGAGTTGAACCTGGGAAGGGGTCTGACCTTGGGATGGTGTCTCAAAGGATATAATGGTGACGGCACACAATTGTGGGGGCTGGCAGGCCTTCTGATGGAGTGATGGGTGACTCCAACATGCACGGCAAACACCAGAACCAGAATTTGAACCCAGATCATATGATTTTAAACCCATAAGACCACTGTATCACTACCCGGCTTCAGAGTCCACCTTTGCCTCTTGCAATTGGAAAATGGACTCACCTAAAGCACGAAACTGATGTGATCCCACAGGAAGCATAACTGACCACTTGAGGATTTTGCTTTTGTAGATGTGAATTTCCCAGCCCTTTGTAAAATATATGCAGCATTCTGCAAAGATTCACCACCAATTTCTGCTCTCCCACAAGCACTTACTAGCTCAGGGCCTACAACAGCCACTATTTCAGAAACAGATACCATTTCCCAGCAGAAAATAATGAACTCTTATCTTGATTTCTCAGGTTAAGTTGTCTTTTTGAAAATGAGCCAGAAATGAAAATGGAATTTCCCTGCTATTAGATAAGTAAATCAGAAACTGCAATGAAGAATGCTCTTTTAGGACTAGAAACACCTAGTTCTTTTAGCAAGTCAAAAGCTACGATTTCTTCATAATCCAAAATTGACCTGTGGGTTTCAGGACATCTTGTAGATAACTACAAGGTAAACATTTGAAACTGCGATAAAGTCCATACAACCCCACCAAAAAGTCCCTGGCTATTTTTTCAAACATGACATCAAAATATGTGAGGGCCTTTCCCCGCTGGAATTTACTGAATCAAAGCTCGTACTGACTGGTGTTTCTCCCCTTACAGGTTGCCATTTTTTAAAATCACCTACCATCTACTGAAACTAAATCATTGGAATTGTTTTTCTTCCTGGTTCTATTCTAAAGTATTTTTCACCTCTCTGTAGAACCATTGTGTCTTTGGGCACACAGAAAATATTGAAAATTTTATAGAAAGTTTCTAAAAACTCACTGAAATTACTCCTGATTCTCGCTCTCTCTTTCTGGCAGTAGAGAAGAATGAATGGCAAAGTTTTTCCCCACCTCAGCACAATGCCATATGGTAAAGGGAGGGGGCCTGGGAGGGAGGCTGTGGGGTTAT